AGCAAAGCTTGAAGCTCAGTTCTTCATGGCAATGGCAGCTCCTTCTCCAGCTCGTTCATCTCATGGCACTAGCTTACAAGCTCCAACACAGACCGAAACCAATATTTGAATTCAAAGGAGAATGACCAATTTCTTCAAGAAATCATACTCTTGAAGAAATCAGTCTTGAATCTGACCTAAATATAAATGAGAGATGATTTAAATAGCTAGATGCATATTCGAGTTTCAAAAACAGTTTTTCAAAAAGAAATCAATTGGAAAAACTCATAGATGAAATAAGATGGTTCTCTCGAGGAAGAAGAAGCGAAAGTTGGCAAGCCAAACTTTCCAAAACTTCCACCCAAAATAGACGACTTTCAAATGACCGAAATCGTAGACTTTACAGACTAAAAAATTCCTTAGGTCAGAAACCCACATGGTAGCAGAGAGAGAGAAAGAAGAATAGGACAAAACAGTTTGTTATCCAGCTGAAAATCCTACAGAGCAAGGATGACTAGTCATCATTTTTATGAAGACTGTTTTATGAAATGATATGCAATACACAATACCTTTTTCAACTTGCTTGAACCTCCATAGAGCAGAAGTTAGAGAAGAGCACCAAGAAAGGTTTTCCTTAATCTAAACTTGAGCTTGATAAATAACAAAACACATCCTATTACAAAGTTGTCAAGGGAAGCCAAAAGAAAACAGTAAAAATCATACATTAACAGTATTCTCCACCCAAATTTTTTATTTTTTTATTTTTTTGGTCAAGAGTTGTGAGACTCTTTATATTGATGTTGCAAACACATATGCAGGTCGTTTCAGGAATTAAAACAGCCGTGAAATTAATAAAAGTGTGTGGTGTTCATAGAGTTGTTATACCGCCATCATAAGGGTATTTGTGGTCTGCATGGGCACACTTGTGTCTAAAGTATAAACAGAGAAAGAAAGAGAGAGAGATGTTTTAATTTCTCAAAAGTTTTTGAGAACTATTTTATTATTGACAAAATTATACAAAATTCCCATTTAACACATGTAGCACCAGCACTTTTTGCCTTTGGGCCCATCAGCACGGCAAAGTCCCATCTTTCCTTTCTCTCCTTTGCATTTTTTGTCACACTCTGAGTGGGCTGTGCAGGTGGTCATCGACTTGCTCGCCTGCTTGCATCCTCTTCTACCACTGGCATTTCTGTATATTATCACAAAACAATATTAGTTTCTTAATTTCTTATATTCTTCTTAATTATACAGCTTTCTAAGACTAATATAAAAAACAAAGAAGGTATATTTGGGATGTCATGTCTAATGAAATTAGAAACATTATTACAAACTTTGGGGGCTCGTATGAATTGTCTTGCAGTGGAAGAAATGATTTAAATATAAACTTTTCGAGTTTACAAGGGTTTGAAGATCACTCACCCATGGAAGCAACGAGAAAGAGAGCTATTAGGAGAACAACTGTGGTGCTGGAGGCAACAGATTTTGCCATCTCTGAAGAGTTTAGGATTGCAAGTGGTTGGATTCGAGAATTTCCAATCCAACTTGCAACCCTATTCTTGAGAATGCAAGTAAGGTCTAGCTTCCAATTTATAGTTGGAAGTTGTCCCTTTGTTTAGGTCTTTTCAGAAAACAAGGCACGGATTTATAGCTGCCTTTTCTTATTTTCAGTAGTGGAAAAATAGAAATTAGACGCAGTCAATCGCTATTCTTATGGGTTTAGTTGTGATTCCAAAGTTAAAAACCACATTTTACGGTTTGACTTCTCCCATAAGTATACGAATACTACATATATCCTTTTTTATCATTCTTTAAGGCAGTGAGAAATGCTTTTTCTAATTTTCAATTAATTGACAGTTTCCAATTAGGGTAAACTTAAGTATGGGAAATGTAAACAGAAATTCCAACAACAAGAAGAAGTAAACAGAAACAGCATCGTAGGATATTGAGTAGATGATGTGGTAGTGTTTTAAATGAATGATGTAAATTAGGTTTTGAAAATCATGCAGGTTTTTATCTAGATTTGTAACACCCAGTCCCAACTAATTATTTTATTTTGTGAAGTTATATTTCTGCCCTTAGGGGTAAGGGCTACTTTACTCACTTTTTATTGGGGATTAGTTTTGGTGGGGTGTACTAATTATTTAAGGCCCAAATAAATACAACCCAGTGAAATAGGAGAAATTTTTATATGTTCCGAGTACACCACGTGACTGGTGTACCATGCAATAAACATAGGACATGTGGAATTATTGTCTAACTTACTGCATTTCTTTTTATAACATGTGGCGGGCTGCATTACAAATATTTCATATGTCTTACGTCTATTGGATGGTACACCAGCCACGTGGTGTACCCGGAACACCCAAAAATTACTCGTGGAATAGGCCAATCCAACATGCACATCACTCGGGTTATGAGATGGATCATGGATTCTTTTCTTTCAAAGCATTCTCGTTGGTTAGTCAATAAGTCCAATCAACCAGAGAAATGTGTGGTTTCTGAACCCATTGAGATGACCCAAGAATTTCGCTAAATTCTGGATGCTTCCCACTTTGTTTTTATTAGAGTATCTACAAGGGAGATGTCAAATACCAAACATCAAATTTAAATTTGATGGCTGATGTGGCAATTTGACATCTTATACCGTTTTACACTCCACCTGATATGTCAAATTAAATTATTATTTTATTACATTTTAGTGTTGATTTATTTTTAATTAATAAGAAAATAAAATAAATAATAATAAAATATTCATTTGACATCTTGCTTTTGGGATGTCAAAAATAACATCTCAACCTCTAGCCTTCATTCCACATCAGCTTTGACACATCGGTTGGAGTGATGTGAGATGTTAATTATAGTTGTTAAATGTCTATGTGGCACATTTGACACATCGGTTAGAGATGCTCTTATGCTTCTGATTCAGTTTTATTGTTTCTAGTTTCTATGTTTATGTAAACTTGCAATAAAATATGCAGTCAAAGTAAATACCTGAATTGTCAAAATATTCACTTTTGGTAAAATACTGAGAAATACACCACACCTCTCAGTTACAAAATAAGTTAAGGACTTGGATATGCACAAACTCAAACTCAGTTCTTGCACAAAATGTCCTGCTAACATAGGTGGGCTAAAGCCCCCTTAAGAAATGGAAGAGGAAACTTCTTTCTTTGGGGGTCAAAGGGCTATTCTATTAAACTCCCACACTTATTCCCTCCTCTTCCCAAGTCTGACCATTGATAACTCTCACACAACACAAGTTTCACCATCATTCTCTTCAAAGCTGAGAGCTCCAACTCTCCTTCTTCACGTCAGTCTTGTTGACTGCTTCGAAACCCATATCTCCTCAGCTCAAAATGAAATATTTCCTTCTTCAGACTTGTTTATCTGTTTGTCTTCTAAAACATATAAAAAATTAAGCCCAATCGAAGAAGTTTAGTTACCTAAAATTCAGTTTGAGTACAAGCTGTTCGTCACAACATGATTCTCTGCGTAAGGCTCGGGTTTGGCCTTAAATGTCTATTTTCCACTGTTCTTTTGGTGAAGTATATTCATCAAACTTGTTCCTCTGTTCAAGAGCTACAATATATCCAAAAATCAAGGCAATCTGAGATGTCTATCTACCTCAAATCATGTTCAAGGTGAGACTAGTCTTCACTTTCGATCTGTTTGCTGGTTTCACTCTAGTGTGTCCTTATTCATTCTTGTATGTGGCCTTCCTCTGATCTAATGGCTTCGTTCCTTTCATCAAAGTTGTTTATCTATGTCTTGGATATAATCTTTCAAAATTGGATCTTCATCCAAGAAGTGTAGTCATCTCAAAGCGTGTTGAAGTGTTGCCTGCTCATTCCTGTCTGCTGTATTGACGTAGGCTCGAATTCTTTCTTGCATGTCAATTTCTTTTGATCATTCGACAACAATTTCTTCATACGAGCTGTTCCTTCATTACAGAACTATTACATATCCAAAATCCACATCAATTGGAGTTCTCTAACCGCCTGAAACTTTGTTCAAGTTCAGTAAGCCCTCTGTTCTGCTGTTTTAACTCTACAGCACCTTACTCACTCTTGCATGTCGATTTCCCTTGCTCAGATGACCAAGGTTGCTTCTTGAATGTTGCTCAGTTTTCTGTTCTCTACAACATATCCAAAGATGGTGGCCATACAACAAGTTTAGGCCACTCGGATGTAGTATAACTGAAACAAGCTCCTCTCTTGTTATCAAGTGTTGTTTGGTGGTTTTACTCCTTGGGGCCTTCTTTGTGCATTACAGAAAGATTCAGAGGATTGAGGTAAAGTTTAAGTTGGTTCAATTGTTGGAAAAATCTGTTCAAAAGTTGTATTCATGGAATTGAATGGATTCTTGAGTTTAAAGCTAAGTTAATTGCAATTTGGAAAAACTAGTGAGAACTATTTGAGTTTGAACGTTTAACTTGCTTTGAAACTAAACTTGGCAGAAGGAAATTCTGGATTTTAGCCTAGGAATTTACTGTTTTGGCACCAGGGAACAATCTGTAAAGGAAGTTACAGTCTTGGGCAGATTTGTAATTTTATTGAAAGTTTGGGGGCCAAAATGTAATCACCCAAAAGTTTGGGGTAAACTGTGTAATTCAAAATTTAATGGGACATAAGTGTAATTATGGTTTAATTCAGGATCCAAGTGGTTTTACAAAAGTCTCAAGGTCGAAGAAATGATAAAAGGAAATTAAATGACAAATTGTGGAAACTTTGTTACTATATAGGGATGTTATAGTAACATGAGTTTATATTGTTCGACTAGGAACTTCTCGTTCGTCGTTCACATACTTGTAATCCCAGGGAAACTAGGAATTTATTTTAAAGTTTTCGTCTGAAGTATTTTAATTAATCTAATATTCGTACTCTTAAATAGTTACTCTGGCCCAGTGTACTCAATAGGCGGGACCCTCTCAAGGTCAAGCAACGTTGAATTATTTGTGAGTGGATTTTGTTTTAAATAATAATCATTATTTTCAAGGATGGAAAAATATTCTCAAGGTCAAGCAACGTTGAATTATTTGTGAGTGGATTTTGTTTTAAATAATAATCATTATTTTCAAGGATGGAAAAATATGCATAATAAGTTATTTTATTTTTGATTTGTTATATTTAAATGTTGAAATATAATATTTTTATGAAAGTATTGGAGGGATATTTGGATATTTGGATATTTGTACATTGTGATTATCTTGTATTGTTAAATGCTATTTTTGAGAGATACTATCTATATTGGGATATATGTTGGGTACATGGGGTTGTTGGTAAGAGGTTGTGGAATGAGAATGGGTTGTGGTTTATGTCAGTTTGGAGTTCTATCAGTACAACCCTATGTACCTCCTCGGCTATTGAATATTTGGATTGGAAACATGGTGATATGTGATACTTGGATATGTCGGAACTCGAGCACCCTTGACGGGGTGTTTCGTAGACCCTTAGCGGGGTTAGTCTGCGCGCGTAGGACTTGTCACAGGTGTACGAGTATTGAGGATTCTACCGTACGTTCTGGGTGAGCCCAGTCCCCCGATTGGACTGCTCGTTCCCTAGCCATATGGTCAATTTGAAGATTCTTCCATGTGGTCTAGTCAAATAATCCTCTAGTTGGATTGTTTCTTCGGTACAAGTTTGGAAGTGGTCTTATATGACAGGACCCGACCCAAATTCCACTTTGGAATCCGAGCCGAACCCTGTGCGTGTTTGACATATGGTGGGTGTTGGGCACCAATGACCTAATTGCCCTTCAATTCAAAATTCAATTTGTTTCGAGTTTGGCTTCTGCCGAAAATTTGGCAGTCTTCCCTATAAATCGAACATTTCCCAAAATTTCCACCTGTCAACAAACATTTATATATCCCAAACATTCAGCATGTATTAAAGTATACCCAAGCAAATCAAGCATCATATCATTCTACCCCCAGGGCTCAGTAATTAAAGTAAATCATTCTATCAATTGGAACTGATTCTAACTTTTAGAACATCATGAACACAATATCATATTCAAAAATAATTTAGCTGAACCATTTCTCAATCTTTTTGCCTCGCGGCTGCGCCTAGTAATTCTAGGCTACCTACGTACCCTCAACTAGGGATCAAGCCACGCGTAGTTCTTCTATTTCATCTCAGCTTCCTACTTCAAGCTTCCTAACATTACTCGCTTGGCAACATATAATTAAATGAATGAATAAAAGCTTTTAGGTTCAGGTAATCACACTTAGAAAGCCATAACTATCCATTTTCTCATGACACCATTGGTGACACGTCCTGCCCTGTAATTCTCGCTGGACTCAGGAGACTTCTGGTCTTGATCCGCAATCCTCGCTCCCACGGTCTGGATATCTCTAAGACAAGTGGGCCAAAATATATTAGAAAAACTTAAGCTATTTAATACTATATAAAATAATGCAAGATAAAGATAAATAAACATAATAAAATAAAATAAGTTAAAGATTTATAACCTCCGAACACCCTTGTATCGAACTCGCGTAAAGTTCATAAATAAATGTTTCCATCTATATATCAATAACTTGATTAGAATCTATATATATTTCCATCTATCGCTTGTAAAACAAATATGACGCTTAAGAAAATAATGAT